TAAAAACATACTGTTGTGGTTTAGCTCCATTCGACAGTTAAGCCCCACACAGCCATATTTTGCCCCAGTGGGATGAGGGAGAAAATCAGAAGGGTGAAAGTGAGACAAAGATGGAGATAAAGACAGTTTAATAGGTAAAGCAAAAGCCAAGCAAAGCAAACCAAGGAATTCATTCACCACTTCCCATGGTCAGGCAGGTGTTCAGCCATCTCCTGGAAAGCAGGGCTCCATCGCACATAACACTACACCATCACTTTAAATGCCCCCCCCCCCTTTCCTTCTTCTTCCCCCAGCTTTATATGCTGAGCATGACGTCATAAATCATGGAATATCCCTTCGGTCAGCTGAGGACAGCTGTCCCATCTGTGTCCCCTCCCAGCTTCTTGTGCACCCCCAGCCTACTTGCTAGTGGGGTGGTGACGAGCAGAAAAGGCCTTGGCTCTGTATAAGCACTGCTCAGCAACAACGAAAACATCCCTGTGTTATCATCACTGTTTCCAGCACAAATCCAAAACATAGCCCCACACTAGCTACTATGAAGAAAATTAACTCTACCCCAGCCAAAACCAGCAAACATACAAGAGTGTAGTATGAGCCATACTAACCACGGTTGCTATTCAAAGCAAGTGATAACAGTAAACTCACTTTCTACTGACAGCTGCTAATTTAACTTCTCAAGCTGATACTGCCACTCAGGTACCTCTCTTCTAATGGATAAATCAAATAACTTAGCAAAGGGATTTTCAGATAATCTTCTGGTTTATGAAAGTTCACCTGCACTGCAGGATTCCCCAGGAACGCATTGAGTTTGTGCTAAAAGGCCAGCCACACACGCTTCAAGCAGCATTTAAATCCCACGTAAGCCATCCCCAGACTGTAGACAGCCCTTTTCCAAAGGCAAATGATGCGAAAAATGGGATGTGTTTTGTTCTGCTTTATTGAAACCAGAGCCATCCCAAAATCAGAGGTATTTAAAACATTTATTAGCATTAATCATTGGAGGTTAAATAAAACACAAAAAACCTACATTTTAGGGCAAAAAAATATTATTAGGTATAATACAATTAATATGTAAAACAGAAGGTAAAGTATTAAGATTGCAGCATCCCATACATGAAGCAACTAGGTCCAGCCCAGTCAAAGCCCTTATATAAACAAAACAGAGGAAGAGTACTTAGCAGGTGATTTTAAACTGACTCTGGTTTAAATAATTAATGGTAGCATAGTAAAACATATCATCATTGTACTGAAAAAGTCTGATTATAGTCAGAATGCTCACGTATCTACTACACACTTGTTACTGCATGCCCATGAAGCATTAGTGCAGACAAGGGATGACAGGTAACTCTCCTAGGTTTTGATACAGACCCATGTTACATTATAACACTTTAGAGACACCTGCTGTACCATGAACAAAAATAATCAATTCTTTTTCCCTTTTTATTTTTTTTTAATGGGGTGTCACTTTATTACTTTGGAGTCCCAATTCTTCAATAATAATGGCATTTTTAAGATGCCGCAGTCTGCAAGACAGTTCTTCTGTAATATGCCATATTCATGCATAAGAATGGCAAGTCAACAACTGTACCTATGTGCATCTCGATCTTCTTGCTACCTTTGATCCATCACTTTAAGTTCATAAAGGTGAAATGACCATTAATAAAAAAATGTACTTGCAGAATACAATGTGCAGTATATGAGACCCAGACATAGTGAAAAAACACTACATGTCAGCATAACAATATAAAACTGTACTTATATACACACACATATATGCAGAGCATATATCAAAACTAGTTCCTTCGTAATCTTGGTTTTAAACTAGTTCATGACAAGACAGAAAAGCAAGTCACCCACAACTGGACACAGTCTTGAGTCATGGTGCAAACAGGCTCCACCAAATACCCTTGGCAGTGCAGCCCATGCCTCAGTCCTGCTGCCACTTGTCTAAAGAAAACCAATCTTGGACAAATCCAGCACCAGCTGGCCAACCTAGAACTGCAGTGTTATTATTATTAGTACTCCTGCCCAGTAATTTAGATTTTCACCAGACATTAACTACCAAAAGGAATTCCAGTTGCTGCTGAAACTTTTGACTCCAAGTTTGGGGTTTTTTTGTATGTCACTTTTCCAGCTGTTTATGAAGGGTGTTGGTATTTTCCAGACAACACAGGCAACAAAAGGAAGCAAAAATCACCAATGTTACATTTGAAAATCACAATTTTTAAAACAAACCCTTCCCCCATTTGAAGAGGCATGTTAAAACTGCAGAGGCAACATCACTGTCAAAGCTGAGCCTTGTCTTCAAAGAAAACATGAGCCATTCTGCACAGCCCAGTGGCCTGTTATTTTCTCACCTGTGATTTGACAGTTCTCTACTGAAGGTCACTGTAACCCAGATCTCAAGAACTTACACAATTAGAATCCATACCCATTTAAATCTTTTCCTTGACTAAAAGCAGAATAAGGTGATTGAGATTTGGCCCATCAAATTCAGAAATATCTTTGAGCCAGCATTTGAATTTTAAAATCTGCCAGACATCCATTACAAGAACCTTCAATTTTAAACTATCTTAAAAAGTAACTCATAAACCTGTTCTGATTCACATACGGCTCAATGGCAGCTGTGAGAGCTGATTGTTCAGGACAGTATCCCATACAGATCAGCATCAATTGCCAGTTCCAGCATAAGTTAGAGTATACAAGGTACTTGCAGAATTGTCTTACAAAGCTTTCAGACATCTCAAGCAGGGTTTAATGAGTTTTGAGATGTCACATTAAAAGAAAAAAAAGAAATATGCCACAAAGATTTATGAAAGCTTAAAAATGAGTTATGCAGAACTACTATACACTGAACTCAAATTTATGACACCTTCAAAAATGGGGGTTTGATCTCACCTTGTTTTCTCGGTAACAGGCCTAGTCTTTTACGGGGCTTTATTTAGAAAGAACCAGATCTCTTGCAGCATTGGGTCTTAGATCCCATAAGCTACATGATTCTGTGATGTTGATAAGCTTGAGATTTCTTCAGGGCTGAAGGCCAGGTTAAACTCTCCCTCCACAGCCAGGTGAAAGACCAGGCACCCCTGGCAGACCTGTTTGTACTAGGATGGGATAAAATGTTCCCTAAGGGAGCTGTCTCCCTCCCCAGCTACCAAAATGACGACTGCTGAATTTTCATTTGCATAACCCTGGATTATGTGTGCCACAGTTGCTGCAATGAAGCAGCGACATGGGTCATTTATCATCACAGGTGACAGCTGAAAGCTTACCTGAAATACCCTTTCTCATGGTAGCTGTCTGAGTCTGTGTTTTATCCAAGAGCCTATTTTCAAGTACAAGTGCTTTCAGGAGTCCAAAATATAGAAGAAATGGATTATATGTAAGAAAACAATGCGGTTTGGATTCTTAGATAAGATCAAGTTGGACGTTTCCCACCTAATTACTACTTCAAGCCCTCTAAAGACAAAGAAACATTCCCGTTGATTTCATCTGGCTCTCCTTCAAGCCCTAATAATTAGTGCCATTTTATCAAAGCAATCTCACAACCAAGCAATAAGGTCTCGTTTTATGTATAAACACAGAAACCCAGCTCTAGCCTGCCTGTTTGTGATTTATTGTGGAAAGTTGTTTTTACCTTTTGTTTGCTTTCCTAAGTTCCCCAATAAATGTGCAGGGAGTTTAATTTTCCTCCTAAAAGAACAAATGAATGTTGCAGAATGCAGGCTGGGCTTTTGTTTTGAAGCCTGCATTTCTTACCCTAGAGTTCTGATTTCCAGTGAAACTGAAGATAAATTTGGATTTTATCATCTCAGTCACACACATTCATAAAAGATGGAAGCGGAGAACACATAGAGTTTTACATCATTTCTAGTTCATAACCACTTATTGGATTTAGTTTTTCAACACTGCATTTTCAAGTGCATCAAGCTTCAAAGGTATTACACAGCAGATCTTGCATAGCACATCCCCATGCGAGTGAAGAGCCTACTCCAAAAATTCACAGAATTGCAATTGTAAAGAAACATTTTGGTTTGTTTCATTAGATTCCAGCCTTTGACTCTAAATTATATTGTGCTCTTTTACGCTGTTTTTGTACAGAAATATCATGCTTCCAATGTGAACGCTTCTTGGAGCACAGCAGTGAGACCATGAGGAGTGGGTCACTGTGGCACCCTCTTTTAGAAACCAAGGATGTGGCATCTTTGAGCAGAGACAACTTCAATCTGGGGCACAGATCTGGAGGAAACCTGGTACGCAGTGGAAATTACGCTGGTGTTTAAGGAAGCCCATGCCCTAGAAAGGGAATCAATTCAGGCAAAGCACAGTGGCTGCATCTGGAGCAAACTGGAACTGCATGAGGTCCAGCAGTCTCTTTCATGACAACTCCTTCTTCCACATACACAGCACCTCCTGACACAGGTTAACGTTTAGCCTGTAAAAACTGCACTTGCTCATCCTTTGGATCCATTTTTGTTCTACTTAGCAAATTCAGTCAATTCCTTGCTGATGTTTCCTGAAAGTCCGAGATGAAGCTACAGATTCAGAAAAATACTGAAGCAGAGTCCAGCAAGAAAGATGGCAGCCAAAATTCAGGGTTTATGGGGTGGGTTTTTTCACCCTGTTATTCCAAAGAAAACTCTAAAAACATGCCAAGTCCACTTTGCAATGTAAGAAAAGTTTTTGCAGCAAATCTAAATTTTATATATAAAAGGATCTTTTTATTAAAAGAAAAAAAAGTCACTGGTTTAAACAGAGAATCAGAGTACTTTGACACTGTAATTTTGACAGGATATTAGAGAGGATTTTCCAAGTAGGTTTTGCAAAATCCCTTTGAAGTAAAGCTTTCTGCTTCTGGTCCTTGCATTACTGCTCATGGGAAGTATTGAAATTACTGCTTTCAAGATAAGGAGCCACGTCGCTGAGATCACAAAGTCCCTTCTCAGTGAGAAAAGCAAATGGTGCTGTTTTTCAAGTAAATCTAAAGAGATCAAGTTGGGTCAGCAGCACCGCCTACCCGTCTGTGAAGTCTGCTTTCCAAGTTTGATGGCTCCATTGTTACCATTTTCATGAGGATCTAAGGGTGGAATCTGACGACCTGAAACACAAGAGGAGACAATGAATTCAATTTTCCTCATGTAGTAAACACACACAGGTAGTAGAATGATTTAGCTTGCATAAGAATTCCATCTGTGAAACTTCACCAGAAGACAACTGTCTCTTGTATACCTTGAGTATTTTCCCTTGCATCCTGCTTATGAAAAGATTTTTACATTTAAAAATGTGTATGAAATGTCTGTTGTGAATGCACGAAGTACACTGAAATTATGTTATCCATGTATTTAAAAATATAGTTATCTTACACCTAAGAAAAATTCTCAGCTATCTCCTAATTGCACTTAAATGTGAAAGGTGCTAGTTTAACAAGATCTTGCCTGCCCTAAATCTGCATGGCATTTAGTCCTTGTGCATAAGTTTTACAAAGCACAGCAACTAAACACATGCTGCCTAAAATTGAAAAATGAATCTGTTCTCTTGATTGAATCCCTCCCTCCTTTCAGGGGTACCCACGCCTTTCCAGTTGACAGCTTTGATTACTTACCACCCCCTTCCCAACAACCTCTCCTGACTTCTTAATCATCTTATGAGGCAAGTATTTTAAGTGCTTTAAAGAATTTCAGCCATCACAGCAGAGCTAGAGATCTCTCCCAGGGGCAGAAGGCACTGCTCCAGCTCCCTTCTCTGTGTGCCCTTTTAGAACTGCTGCATCTTTGTCTAACTGGCTTCCTACACATGGACAACATACAATGTGCTTAATAATTAGAGTCATAAATGGAAGATAGTCCCAGGTCAAATCTATCTTCTGTGGGCCTGGCTCTTCCATTAAATGCAGCGTGCAATGTCTCCATCTTGGAGATGGAGAGTTTACAGTCATGGTAACATACTTTCTCATTACCTTGTAGATTTCCTGATGCTTTCTTTTCCTGAAGTTTAATCTACTTTCTGTGAATTACTCCTTGTTTTACTACTACCCACGTTACATAACAAGAGTTAAAATATTTAACATTTGTTATATGCCACTTTCAGGGAGCATAAAGTTCCTGTAAACAGCTCATCATAATCCAGGTGGATTTTACAGTTTAGATTTCTGCATCATTTGCTGCTTTTATTCACAGCTCTCTTTTGGCAAATGTTCTATGAATTACATACCTATGTTGAAGCCCGAGTCCTACAAATTACTTGTGGGTGCAGTTGTGGAAGGGTGAGTTTATAGCATTCAGGTACAATCCAATCCCAGTGAAATCAAACCGCAAAATTTCATCTGTAAAACTTGTCCCTAAATTACCTTTGGTCAAGTCCATCAAAATTTCACCTCTCTTAGTCAGTCTGAACAGGTACATTATACAACAAACAAAAGTGTGCCTTCTGAAGCAGATAATCTTGGCTGTTTGTACAACTGAATGAGAGGGGGAAAATTCCTCACATTACTAAGCTAAAGATAGTGTATTTGGTCCAACAGAGTGAGAAATGGGTATCTTGAGGGCTGAAGCACGCATAAGCACTGGCACTGCAATGCTGCACTCTACTGAGGTCACTAAAATACCAGCTTCGCACCCAGCTTACATTCTGTTTGGACTTCATGTTTGTAAGTGCCTTTCAAAGTAAAATTTAAAGCAGAATGAGTGGTTATAAACACAGCTCTCACACGCATCAGTTCTGCTGGCTTTGTTTGGAGACTAAAGAGAATCCACTAATTCTTAAAGCTCTAGAGAATAAGAATGTTCCAAGAAGGTAACACTATAGAGACCTGCAGAAAACTTCTGCATCAGGTACCTACTATTTCCAAAATGCTTTCAACTCAGTCCCAACTACAATAAAACCCCATCATCTGACCCAGAGCACAGTGTAGCTAAAAAAACTGGAATCTACAGGCACGGTTTCCATAACATACCATTAAGCAAATATTGTAAACATTTGGTTCTTCTAACAGCAAGTTTAGAAAAGGAGAGCTTTAACATGCAAACTAGCTTAACTTTTATTGTAGAAGTCCGCATTAAACAACTATATTGCCTCTCTTTTTTATTCAGTGTTTCGTATTACTTATGAGTTTCAACTCTTTTCTACAGTACTCTTGACGTGTATGCAAAGAAACATGCTAACTTATCTTTGGAACAAAAACGCCCCAGGCTTCAAGGTCAGCGAGCACTTTGTCCAGTTCAGACCAGGACATGATGTATGTCGGTAAGAATCACTTGATTTATTTCATTTCTCAAAACAATAAAACCACAGAGATACCAACTACAAATAATAAAGAGAAAAAAATCTCTAGACATAATATTTGCTGATTAGTTATTCTGCCCTTTGAACTTAAGTACTGTTTGTCATTAACTAGTCGTGTTTCTGTTGTTTGGACACCCCTTGAATTCAATATAAGGAAATAAACATTTAAACAGTCAAAACTTTTTTCAAGTTTGAGAGCATCTTTTGCAGTAGCTGACTTTTCTCTCTCTTACTTCTTTTATTACCAGATTTATTAAACCCTTAAGTCACTTTTAGTAACAAGACTTATCCCTGTCCAAGCAGCTTTTACCATCTGATGTGCTGTCGACAGGAGTAACACTCTTGGAGCATAAATTCAGTCTAACACCCAAGAACCAGCTCCATAGCAAATGATCCAGTGATTTTCACCAAGAGTCAGGGGAAGCAAACAACAGTAATCAGTCAGAAACCTGTCTGACTGATTATCTGTCCCTGGGCCTCCTTGACAGCTCAAGGAGTCTCACAGCAGACAGTGTAACAGAGAAAGGTTTAAGCAGCAGGAAAACACTGAAGGTGAGCAGTGAAATGCTGAGCCTGCATCTACACTTCCTGCTTCTAAAGCAGCTCAATCACTATTGCTACCTAGAAGTGCCGTGATCATCTGATCTTGTCATTCAGGTCTTGATAAATATAGCATCAATATTGCTGACACCAACTCAAATACAGCTGGCACTGAGTCAGGATCAACAGAGGTCATAAACTGAATTAATTCTAGACACTATATACACATTTAAAATGTCTATCTCACTGGCATACATGGTTCCAGAGCAATAAAAAAATACCCTTGTATTAAATAACCTACAGCATGGTTGTTATTAATAATTAATCAGTATTATTAAATAACATTAAATATTAATACTGTTAATAATCAGCATGTTATTTCTTTCATGCAGTTGATGTCAGGAAGGAGTAGTAGTGCTCTGACATCCAGCCCTGCAATTTTCCTGCTAAAGGAATAAAAAGATTAAGACAATTCTTCAAATTGAAAACTGCTCTGTTAAGATACAGACAACTCAAAAGGTCCATCAGAGATTGAACTCATCTGTTGTTTAACTTGAAGACGACAAACTAGACCACAAATAGTCTTTTCTCCATTTGGCAGAGCAGGACACAACTAGCCAGCTTGCCAAAGACCACCAGCAGCATGTCTTCAGATTCCAGGCAAAACAGTCAATTGCACAGAGAAAAACAGATGTGCATACGTTTACCTAAGAACTCTGCAGGTGAACTGGTTAAATGAGGAACTTAAGGATATGCTATTACTGAAACAGCATGAAAGTCCCATATGATACCCGATCCTGGTATTTCTATGGAGCAAGGCCAGCTGACTGCAATTTAAAAATTAGGTTTTGCCCTTGTTTTAATACCTGATCATATATTTTGGTTTCATTTCACTAATGTTCAGACCACGCTTTACAGATTTTGTGCAACAAAACTGTTTGTAACCATGCACCTCTACACATTTCCACAGAGGTGTTGGTGTCCTCCATGATCTCATTGTAGTAAACACACGATGGTGGGTAAAATAAGTATCACAAGAGATTGCCCAAATATAGGGTTACAGAAATTGTCATTCTTCTGAAGTGAACCATCCAGGTTAACAGGTGGGAAGCACTAAATTGATTGCATCTCCTCCTTTCTGGCATGTTTGAATTTGGCTGAGGCAGTCTAGCATGAAGGTCAGAGTCTTCTCCAATGCCTGGTAGAATTCCAACTCCTTCTACTGAATGTGAGATTTGCTGATGTAAAGAGATTAATCAGCACTGCGGGAGTTGCGGTTCTGAGGGTGCCAAAGGCAAAGAGATTGGGAAATGGGAGGGTGGGTCAAGAGATAAACAAAATGGGAAGGAAGAAAAATAAAAACTGGAGCAGGGAAGCCAAAGAGATGCAATGATTGGGTGACAGCTCAGTGAGCAGAACTTGAAGAAAGGCAGATGGGGACTGCTCTGCTGCAGCTGGAAGCAGGATGCATCATCACAGTAATAAAATCTGCTCTCTTTGTTCCTTTTGAATGCGATGCTCCAGTTACAAGCTGTGACATCCATTAGCTCAGAAAAATCAGGCTCAGAGTTGAGCTTTTTGCTTTAGGTTTAGGTTTGGTTTGGGATTTTTTGTGTGTGTACGTGTGTGGTTTTGTGTTGGTTTTTTGTTTGCTTGCTTGTTTGTTGTTTCATTGCGGGTTTTTTTAACATGAAACTAGTTTCATCATTGACCTCTACAAGACCGTGTGAAAGGCTGGAAACAGTCTGAAAGCTGAGCATAAAGGACAAAACCCACCACTGGCTACCATGCTGACAAAGGGACAGACAGAACAGTGCATTGAACAGATACACATTTAGGGTGAAAACAGATGTGATGTGATGTGATCAACCCAAGCTGGCACATCCAGACAATGAAGTCCAACTCCAAAAGAAGCACTATCTACTATCTAACGCAGCTACAACAATGCTGCTAAGGGTCAGAGGCAAGACATCATGGTGCTGCATGGTGGCTTTCTGCACATTTCCCCCATCTGTTCTCTCCCTGAAAAACCACATACAAATTAGTTTTTTAGGAGGCTGACGGAAGGGGAGATTTTCATTAGTTCAGGATGAGCAATCCATTTCACTCTGCCCCAGAGCAGCAGCCTGACTCCTCATGGCTCACCTCAGGAAAGGCAGGCTTCTTCAAGTATTTGTACAACAGCTATACAATGGCCAGAACCTCCTCCTACAATTGCTAGGTGTATCACAGCAAAGTGAGCCCCTGTGAAGCATTGCTCTTCATAAACCTCATTAA